CTGTTAAGCCTTCGGTCACCAGGCAATTGCACCATAAGTGATCATTGGTCTGACAATCATCACATAAATCCAATGGATTTGTTTGGGACCTAAACCCCAAGTTTTACCACAAATCCTTCGACATGTCTGTCATCCATCTAAATCAAACACCATCAAGGTTCATTCAATAACTATATTTTCCAATTTTAAAATACCAAATCACAGAGCCCTGTCCAAGGACGTCACAGATAACTTTTTATGCAAGTATTATAGTCCAGGCACATTCCTACTGACATTACACTCCTCCCTTTCTAATTTAGAACTCTTGTGCTTATAACTATGGTACAAACCGCTCAGGCGGTTTTCTGAAACGCTGGGGGCGATGGGATAATTCACTGGGAGATATATGAGTCTCTTGATCACTACTAGTTGAATTGATATTATCATAATTCGATATTGACATCGTTGAAATCGAGCTCTCAATTAGATAGCAGTGAAGCACCAGGAGCGGTGGTGGGAATATCACAAGAGAGAGATTCAACGAAACCTTTATTTTCTGGTTTATCGGGGACACATAAGTCCTCGAGTAAGGCAAATGCACTTTGATTAAGGCTATTCAACAACATTGCTCGCTGTTTACTTTCCTCTGCCACCTCATTAGCAGTAAAAAACGATTTTAGTCGCCGGACATGGATTCCGAAATCGTGAATGTCTGGATTGAACTCCGTTTGTAACCCAAATTGTCCCGTCGCCATGTTACTTATTTTCAATTAAACAAATCCGTTGTTGGACTAAATTTTCAATATACGTTCATCCTCGTCGCCACTTGTGATGTCTGTCATCCATCTAAATGAAACACCTTCAAGGTTCATTCAATAACTATATTTTCCAATTTTAAAATACCAAATCACAGAACCCTGCCCAAGGACGTCACAGATAACTTTTCATACAAGTATTATAGTTCAGGCATATTCCTACTGACATTACAATGTCCATAAAGACAGTCTGGCATTGTGTAAAACTTTTTCCAAGTGAGCGTTCCAGGTGAGTTTTCTATCAATGACAATGCCAAGATATTTCACCTCTAGAGATACCCTACATTTTGTTTCATGAGAGAGGGGACATTGTTAGATCAAGATCTTCAGATGATGTGGTGCTGCAGGTTTTTCCGGATTTTCCTGCAGATGAAAAAGCAAATGCGACCCTGGAATCAATGAAGTCGCCCCGGAGCGCCAATTAATTTTTATTGTTGTTTTTATTTTATCAAGATGAAATAAAATATTTTTCTACTAAGAGCAAACAAAAAAATAAACACCTATATTATTATTGAATATATCTCATAGAAAAGATTCACTATAAATTCATTTCGATCGTATTCAAAACATAAAGAAAACTAGCTATCAAGTCTTTTTTATGGTAAAGTTGAGGATTACTGCACCTTTTTCTAGCCTAATCGATCCCCTCGTAAATAAAAAACCCTGAACCATACCTTAATTCCTCCTACACGCCATGAGCATCGTAGTGTGTAATAAACCATCTGACCACGAAAAGAGAACATACATGCCGCCTCTAATAGTGTTTCGTCTAATTAGTGAACGAATTATTGCAGTGGGCCTTGTAATTTCTAATCTTGTTACGAGTAAACCTGTTGAGGAATTTTGAACAGATGATTTACTGTGGACAATATTTTACTGTTTCACATAATAAACGGTGCTCTGGTGTATCCGGCATATATTTTTTGTAAGGATTGGTTTATTCTCTGTGGCTATATCGAAAACTATAGTCAATGATTATATACCCAGATGATTATATGGCGAGGCATATTGTGTTGAATTTCAAACGCCATGCGCCTTTGAGTTTATAATGGAGGATATAATTGTCTTTGGTTTGTCTTGAGAAGTTGAGTGGGATTGATGAAATTTATTTCGAATCGCAAGATTATGGTTATGTGACCCAATTCACAGAGGATAAAGAATCATTTGGGTTTGATTGAATATATTTCCAATACACCAAGTATCTATCATACCAACCACCGCAAAAATCATTGAAAAACTAGTTGAAAAACGACTACTTGGATTCATAAATAAGCATAATATCATCAGTGAAAATCAATTCGGCTTCCAGAATAATAATAATACGCACGATGCTATTTTCTCATTTCTGAATAAAGTTTATTCTGAGATAAATGTCGGTGAATAGACTGCCGCAGTATTTTATGACCTGTCAAAGGCATTTGACTGCGTTGATCACAAAATACTGCTGAGAAAGCAAATGGTTCGATTTCTACTTGAAGGGACGGACGCAGTTTATTAAAACAACTCAACTTAAAAAAAAAACAAGGGAAATTAATTCTGGGGTTCCACAAGGTTATGTGTTAGGTCCCATTCTTTTCTTATAATATAATAATAACATCATCAAGCTTAATATTTCTGGGAAAATCACCTTATTTACACTACCATACATACTTTTACTCCTGTAAAACCTTCTTCAAAAAACATAATATTCTAACGGTAACTGTATTATTTATACTGGAATCTGTATGTTCAATAAATAAGCATATATTAAATTTTGCTGCATCATATTTCCATTATAACACCCAAAACATCAGACACACTTTGGAACTCACTGTACCAACTAAAAACATCACCAGAGACTCCATATTTTACAACGGTGGAGAAATGTACAATCATTTGCCTATGGACTTAAGATCTGCCAATGTAAATGACTTCCAATTCAGGAAGTTAGTCAAACAATTTCTATCTGATAGACCCTTGTATACTTTGAATAAATATTTCAACGATAGCTATTAACTGACTTACTCATATTTTTTATCTTTATTAATTAAGGAGCGCCTAAGTTGTTACTTTTTATGTCTACTCTTTTATTAACTTGACTTTTACTCTTTTCTATATATATACATATCTCTTATATCCTGTATTTTAACATAGTTTGTACCGCACCATTTTTATTTTTATTTTCATTTGGTATGTATTGCACTTTTTTAAGTATTTACTACCCAATCTTTGTCTACAAGATTATGTCTTATGATAATAAAGCATATTATTATTATTATTATCCCAATTTGGATCCGTCTCTGCAAAATAAATGAATAATTGAATAGGATGGCGACTGTTGTATATGATTCAGATCGTCAAGTTGGCGGAAATTCAGTCGAAATGTTGAAGAAAACGAATTGCCTAATCGTCGACGTTTAGAAACTTTATTGTTTCATCTTCAGGACTATTTAGTGCGGCGAGTTCAAAAAGGACGAAGTAAATAAATTTGACCAAAAATATATACATACACAGGTTCACGAAAAACTTTGACTCGGACGCAAAGAAATTAACAAACTGTTTGAAATCAAATTTCTTACAATTTTCGTTTCCATCAATTTTTTTCTAGGATCGATATTTTCCGATTTATACCCGAGAAAAAGAGGGAGTAAAATCTTATTATTGTATTATCACGTTTATTTTCAATTTTACGAAAAAAATCGTGATGAACAAAGTTGTATAAAATTGGTGTTTGGTTTTCATCAATTTTTTTTCTGGGATCGATATTTCTCAATTTATACCCGAAAAGAGGGGGGCATTTTTTATTGAACCCCGTTTATTTTCGATTCTACGAGAAAAAATGTGATAATCAAAGTTATTTGAAGTCAAATATCCTACAATTCTGGTTTTCATCAATTTTTTTCTTAAGATTGTATTATCAAGTTTATTTTCAATTTAAGAAGAAAAATTGTGAAGATTAGAGTTGTTCAAAATCGAATTTCTTGAAATTTTGGTTCTCATCAATTTTTTGTACGATCAATATTTTTCGATTAATACCCGAAAAGAGGCGGTGATTTTTTTTATTGAACAATCGTTTATTTTCAATTCTACGAGAAAAATTGTGGAAAACAAAGTTTTCAAAATCGAATTTTCCACAATTTTGATCCCTATAATTTTTTTTGTAGAACCGATATTTTTCGATTTATACCCGAAAAAAGAGGGGGTAACATTTTATCATTGTATTATCACGTTTATTTTCAATTTTACGGAAAAAATTTCGATGAACAAAGTTGTATGAAATTGAATTTCCTACAATTTTGGCTTTCATAAATTTTTTTCTAGGATCGATATTTTTCAATTTATACCCGAAAAGAGGCGGTGATTTTTTTTATTGAACAATAGTTTATTTTCAATTTAACAAGAAAAATTGTGATGATTGAAGTTGTTCGAAATCAAATTTCCTACAACTTTGGTTTTTAACAATTTTTTTGTACGATCGATATTTTTCGATAAATACCCGAGAAAAGGAGGGGGTAAAATCTTATTATTGTATTATCATGTCTATTTTCGAATTCATGGAAAAAATTGTAATGAACAAAGTTGTATTAAATCGAATTTCCTACAATTTTGGCTTTCAATAATTTTTTTCTAGGATCGATATTTTTCTATTCATACCCGAAAAGAGGGGGTGCTTTTTTTTATTGAACAATCGTTTATTTTCAATTCTACGAGAAAAATTGTAGAGAACAAAGTTCAAAGTTTTTTAAAATCGAATTTCCTACAATTTTGATCCTTATCAACTTTTTCATATATTCGATATTTTTCGATTAATACCCGAGAAAAGAGAGGGTAAAATCTTATCATTTTATTATCACGTTTATTTTCAATTTTACGAAAAAAATTGTAATGAACAAAGTTGTTCAAAATCAAATTTGCTACAATTTTGGTCCCCAGCAATTTTTTTTTGTAGGATTAATATTTTTCGATTTATATCCGAAAAAAGCAGGTGGTAAAATCTTATTATTGTATCATCACGTTTATTTTCAAATTCACGAGAAAAATGGTAATGAACAAAGTTGTATAAAATTGAACTTTCTCATCAATTTTCTTGTAGGATAGTTATTTTTCGATTAACATTCGAAAGGAGGGGGAGAATTTTCGTTTATCGAATATCTAGTTAAATCTCTTTTTAACATCAAAGAAAATATTATTGAACCAACAGTAGAATAAAAAGTGAAAAATACATACCTTTGGAGGTATCCAAGACGTAAGCCCCATTTCCTTTCTGCCACGCCCAGGAACAGAGATCACAGGTTGTGAGACCGTCTGGAGTGACGGAGTCGTCAAGAAACAGAGGCCTTGGAGGCGGCGGAACGAAATTACCGGAAAAAAAACCACCCTCGCTGGCGTCCAGAGGTATTGGGGAGTCTTCATCGAGGATGTCAGCCCAAAAGTCGCCTTCGTTGTCTGTGACATTTGTGGAGATGATCGGAGTGGACACCTGGAACAACAACGTGATTGGATACCCTTTATGTATACATATACAGTGTGTCTGGAAATGAAACACTCCTATAGACCTTCATGGGCCGCACATTTCGCAATAATGGGGAATGTTCCTCAGTTTGGTTTATTATAGCAAATGCAAGTTTGAACAAAATAAAGTTGAGTTTAATTCATGAGTTTTTCAAATTCACTTCGAAACGTATTCAAATTGATGTTTCAAATGTTGGGTTTTAATTTTTAAAGGGAGTTGTTTCTAATTCACATATTGGCAACAGTGCCTACTTTAAAAATGGAAAATTTACTTTATAAATCAACAATTAGGGCGAAATATAAATTATAGTTCAATACCACCTCCACAAGCCACATAAACAACAGTTGTTTTGTTATTTATTTATATAGAGGAAGATAAGTTAGGTCATCAAAAGGTCATATGTCACAGAATGTCTCGGAACTCGGAACATAAGTAAACAGAACAGCACGCCTCTGAAATATGTCATCTTTGTTTGTCTCATACAGGTAACAGATTCATTGTCCTTCATTAGCTATAACCGATGTTGCCAAATGGTGAAATAGAAACGAATCCCTTCAAATGTTGAATGCATTAGTTCATTCCTCTTTTTTAAGTATTTAAATACATTTTTAAAGAAAAAAGTTGAAATGATAAGTTTAAAATGCGTTGTTTTAGAGATCTTTTATGAAAACTACTTGATTTTCGTCAGGAGGAACATTCCCCATTGGCCCGAGGGACAGCCTTAAACCCAACCTATTGCGTTCTTACGGAAAGGCCAGGTTCTCGATATTTTGCTTCGCGTTGATACCGAAATAAGTTATTTCAAAAAGTTGCTTGGAAATCGATTTTTACCCTACGTACTGAATTTCAACGTAAAATTCGAATGTTGTTTTTTTGTAATTTTCATATTACAGTCTGATTTTCAATTAATGGCTCTAAATAAGAAGCTAAGAAAATAAATTCGTTAGAATCCATTAAAATCTGTTTCAATATGTTTTTTCTTTAACCATCTGTCGCTTCCTACAAACGACAACTTTCAAAAGTCTAAACTTGTACGAGCTAAATACCAACGAGGTCTTACCTTTTAACGTGTGATTCATATAGGAATAAAAATGAAAAACCTAATATTTATCATGAACAGATTCAAATTTTTATTAATAGTTACTAAAAAGCCACAAAGATATCGGTTGAAATTAAATGACAACGGAAATGAAATAAACACTGATATTGGAAGCCAGTTTCAAGTATTGCCTTTCTCAACTGGCTGCCCTCATTTCTGATACATTTTTCAATTCTTTTTCTATCATTATTGACCACTCTCCTTAAGTTGAATCTTTCATTTCCTTGAAATGCCAAAAAACGTATAGGAAATAGTCATTATATATAGTAGGACAAAACAAAATATATTTACAAAAATGAACAAGAAAAATATACACAGTAGCAAATCATAATGTTGTTTTTAAAAACTCGTCAAAAGAAAAAAACATCTTTTCAACACCTGTACCAAAAATCAAAGCTCTGCTCTTTAAAATAAGTATAAGGTTGTCTTCATCTTAAGTGTGTCACCCTGAATAATAATAAAAATAATTTAATATATTACAGAGTATGCTTTACTTTGTTCTGCAACAAAAAACATAAAATGCAAAGCGTCAGATAGATTGTATGAACATTAAAAAAACCATCATTATGCAGTAGGAATAAAAACATCTTAATATAAAACGAAGTTAACAGTAATCCAGATATTCCTGAATTGAATATGTTTCAAGTCTTTAGGGAAATCTTTCACATATTTTTTAAATTTTTTAACGCTCTTACAGGATTTGATATTTTGTGGTAATTCATTTAAAAACTTGATTGATGCTCATGACGGATGCTTTTTTATTAGTTTTCCTATGGATAGGAAAACGTATATTTGCAATCAGCAAAGGGTAAGTATGATTTGATTCTGCTTCCAAGAACTGTTCTTTGTTTGAATAAATACATTAAATATATTAAATAAATGTACAATGCATGTATTGTCATTATATAACTATCTTTGAATTTGCCCCAACAAGATTGGCGGTACTTCAATTGGAACATCATTCTTATCGCCCTTTTTTAAATTCCAAATATTTTCGAGATGCCACTATAGACCTTCATAATAACCACAGAATCATATAAGAAATTTGCTGCATAAATGATTTTTAATGAGATGAGTAGGTACCTACTGATAATCCTTACACTGTAGCAGACTTGATTCAATTTTTTCCTTAAATTTATAATGTGGGTACGCTAGTGAAGATGCTCATTGATGTGTATACCTAAACGTTTTGTTGAGGTTTGTACTTTCATTTAATTATTTGAAAATTGAACAGATGTTGGTGACTCAATTCTTTGTTGAAGGGTTCTAAATAGAATTATTATGGTTTTATCGGTATTAAGAATAAGGCCATTTTTAGAAAACCAGTGCCATGTTTTTTCGAGTAAATGGGATGATTTAGTAATTGAATTTCGATAGTTGCAGCTAAGAAACAGCATAAATAGTAATAGTAGCCCCCTCGTCATTTAAAACATCTAAGATGTCGTTCATGAAAATTACAAATGAAATAGGACCTGTTATACTTCCCTGTGGAATGCCTATAGTATTTCCCCTGATATCAGACTTAAATATCTGTCCATTTTTCATAACTTTCGTTCTCTGTTGACGATTTGATAAATATGACTAGAATCATTTCAATACAGTCCCTATAATTCCATATTTTCCAATAAATACGTGTAATTGAAGCAGACATATGCTTTAGAAAGGTCTAAGAATATTCCAAGTATTTCGTTATTTTCAAATGACTCGATAATGTCTTCAGTGAACTGTATGATTGCTGTGACTAGAATAACCACCGCGTTATTTACACCTGAAGAAGCCATTGTATAGCGAAACACGTTTTGCGTTTTTATAAAACTGTTTAGTGCAAATCTCGCAATAACGTGTTTTTTGAATACGACTGTTGTATTTATATTAAACGATTTCAGACAGATATTTTATTACACCACATCGATGAACCTTGAGTAGCGCATTCACACAAAACCTATTAATTTTATGATCTTTCTCATCATATCGGATGAACGATTTTTCGAGTGTTACGAATTGTTTTTCTTGCGTGAACATTTTCTGAATCATGGTTGGTTAATTTCAAGAGTGGTAATTGTTTCTTATCGAGTTCTATCGCCGATATTCCTGCATTACCACGTCGTAAAATCGTGCCATAACAATTTATTAACCGCTATTAAAAAGTACCTTCGGTAAAGGAAGCTTCAATTTTTAGATTTCACGGATCTGTAGTACTCAAGTGACAGATATTCGTACATACTCGAAAGCGTGGTACTGCCTATCATTGATATTTGGCAATACTGTCAAATATAGAAAATTGTCATGACATAAATAAAATCCATTCAAGCAAATACGTGAATTGAAAGATGTTTCAATCTCAACAGAGATTTTAATCATTACCTAAAATGTAAGGGTGGTAACCAACCCCATCCCCCGAAAAAATCTCCTCGTAATGAACAAACGATTCTTACTTTTTTACGAAATCAAATGGACACGTATTAGTTCAGAGATAAAATGTCAAACTTTTTTCCTGTCACAGAAAAAAAATATTTTACGGTCGAAAATGTTTGAGACAATGCCTTCCGATTTTTATCCTTGCAAAAACCGCAGCGCATTTCCTTTATAATTTCATTCAAACAAGCATTCAATTACATTATGTCGTTGGTGGTGCAAAAGAACTCCAATGACATAATTGTCGACTTCCAAGAGTTTTTCCCGTGTTTCCTCCGCTGAAATAAAATTACAGAAGAAACTCGCATGCCCGAAGGAAATACATTTCATCGCGAAACACGAATTATATCGCCCGTTCCCATGTGAACCGCTGACCATGCTGAAGCAGAATCTCGCGATTCTGGGAAACTGATGTGCAAGCATTCTTATCTTCATGGGAAGAATACTTTTGTAATTCAGTTATAATTTTGCTCTCATACTGTTAACATCAATTTTTGTTAATGAAATTAGTTTTTAAAAAAGGACTTTGACATCCGAAAGTTATATTTCACGCGATCTCCGTTGCAAAAAATGAAGACGTTTCTTGATGGCCTGTCTCTTTTGTTTTCACTCTAATTCAACTCGTACTCATTACCGTACTGATAATACCGCATTTCATATATCCGCAGGAACCAGTGTTAACGGCAACTACGGACCAAGCTGTAATTTCCAAACCGAAGGACTTTGAGATTCAAGGCTCCTTGATCTCAAATGACTACTTCGTACATTATTCATTATTTCATTAAATTCGCCGGCATGAGAGAAAGTTGCCCAATCTTTTTAAAAGCCAGGGTTGGACTGAACTAGCCGATACTTGATCAAAATCAAGCGCGGTTTTTGTGAAACCCTTTATAGTGAAAATCATACAATAAAATGTGTTAATGAGTTTTAAAAGACAGGGTGTTCCAATATGTTCCTTATTTGATTATGTTTATGTCCAGTGCAACAAAATCTGGAGATCCTAAACCACTGATTTTTGCATGAAAACATGAGAATTGGGTGCCTTTGGACAACTTTTCACGTTATCAGTAAAGTCGAACAGTAAAAACGACGAAAACCAAGATAAATATATCTCAGTTCCATACCACAATACATGGAAAACTTTGGAAATATTTTCAAGGAACTAGGTATGAAGGTGGTTTCTGAAACAAGTCATACATTACAGAGCCTTTAAGGAAATCCAAAAGACAAAGTCGAGAATTCGGAAAAGTCTGGAATTTACGAAATTGAATGTAAGGACTGCGATGCAAAATATTTTGGACAGACTAAAATATTTATTAAAATAAGATATAAGGAACACCTAAGCCTATACTATGGAATACCGGAAAACTCAGCAGTTGCCCATCATATTTTGCAACAAAACCATTCCATAGACTTTAGTTAATTAAGATTAGTTAGGTTAGACAAGTTAACA